TCGTTGGAGGCCGGAAAAGCTCGCTTTTCAAGCGCAAATTTAAATCAGCCTCAAGAACGTAAGCTCAAATGATGAATCTGCAACACAATTAGAAGACTTCCAATTTAAAAGGCGCAACATTTTCACTTTAAACGTCTTTTCAATTCTTGCCGAATTTACTGTTACTTAATCGGCCGTCTGACTCATTCTAAACCTCTTCTTTCAAGTTATCATTAGGATTTTAAACTGTCCTTTTACAAAGTGTTTCAAATTGTTCACTGCGGATCTCGCCGAAGGTAGGACTATAGTTTGTGCTAAAAGTCGACCCAATTTTAGCAATTTCCACATTGAGTGTCTACAGTTGCAACCACCCATGAATGTAATCTACGATTTTCTTCACAAAGAGTGGAGGGTGCCGAGTATAGTCCACAACTCGGCTACCAATTTGACACCGGGGTTATTTCCAAAGTACCGAAGTGTTGGGAGACCGGAGGCACGGCAGTGGGACTGGAAGATCTTCATATCACCATTTCGGTGACCAATTGGCAAGCATCAAAGATGGTATAACTTGCACAGGTATTCGGGTGTCTTTAGGGCAGAACTACAGAAGGGTTGCAAAATGCCATCGTGGGCGACTACTTCATGAGAATAGACAGACTAAACAGGCTTCTCCATAGTTCTGTGTGTAAGCTAGACCACCCCCGTGCTGCCACGTTCTGCAGGTCAAACTGTCGGGCTGGCAATAGATAGAGTTGGTTAGAATTGCCAAACACACCCTGCCACTGCCAAGGCGCGAAGACACTCAACTACAAAGAGCAAGTGGTGCCACCCATCGACAACCAAGTGCGCAGCCTGACACAGTACGCGAGTGTGCCTTCTAGTAGTGCGAGGTGGAGACCACGACTGCCATCCGTTGCTGCTACTGTCGTCGTGACCTGTTGTCACATCATCACCTCCCTCGTACGATGCAGTGTGTTGCGGTGTGAGTGCACTTCATGCATGCAAATGACTTACTTGGCAGGCGGAGCTGCTTACAGGAGTACACCAACACCTGGTGAAGCACAGAGCGCGCACAGCACTCGGCACGCATCTCCTATGCAAATACGACCCACGGCATGCGTTGTGCGCTGACTGCGCATTCACCTGTGCCTTGCGTGCCTTGGGCAGGCAACCTGGGAGGTGATGTGGCGACGGAGAACCGGCTTGAGTTCCACCGATTACGTTGTGGCGGAAACGGAATCCATCCCGATGCCCTGTTACCCTTCTTGCTTACTCTGTCCAAGTGATCTAGTGCTTGTAGAACAATAGGGAAGGTGTGTAGAGCCGTGTGTGATTTGCGGTGCATTCAGTCGCTTTCCGTGCTCACTTCAGTCACCTTGCTGGCCACCACCTGGATTGGTGTGTATGATCACGTATGTGGTCGAGACGGAAATCGCCTGGCAGACGGCAGTTTATCGCATCACTCACCACTCTGCTCTACTGCGTCGTACCGTGCCGTATGGTTGCACGACAAAATGTCCGCTCAGAGGTGTCGAGGAGAGTAGTTATGTGGTGTGGCAAAGGGTGGTCGCTGGATTGGCAGTGATGGGGCTGAAGTGGAAGGGTGGCCAAATAAGGTGGTACGGTAGCTATGGTAAGGGTTGGGTGGCTGCAGGAGGTGTTTCAACCTATTTTAGTCGTTGAAGCAGGCAGCATTCAACTCGGCAATTTGCAGTCCGATTCCCATCGAAACACGAGGTTTACGTGTCATTCCATCTGCTCAGCTTTCATCGGCTTCCGTTTTTAATCGATGTAGGCGTAAACGAGGCGTCTCGTCATCCCCACTAAACATTCCCTTACCCTCGATTTGCCTCACCGTGGCAGTAGCAACATGCAGTGCTTCAGCACTGTCAAGACTAAAGATCCTCCCTGAATGTGATGCATCTACCTCTGACTGTTTCATCACCACAATCGGATTGTTCGTGTCAGTCATTTTTGAAAGGTACGTTTTGTCAACTCACTTTCTCCAAAGGCCGCACAACATGCGTTAGGAGACGCTTCCGTCATTCCGCAATCAATTTGACCTCCATCGCGTGAAGCAGATGAGCTCGAACCACATCTGTCAGATCAAAGGGATGGAGGGTGGGTGAGTTGACACTAAGAGGAGAGTAGGGGCAGCACAACAAAGAACACTGCATTGGTGGTGGGCTAACACACATCCACCTCTGCTTGATGAGGCATGCGTGTAAACAATCGCATGAATTTGACGAGTCCTCTACAATATGCAGCAAAGCACCCTTTCAGCGAGCTCTACTCAAAATTCGCAGATGCTTTTGGACATCTTGATTACTGTCAACTTACCTCTGAATGGAAATTGACAACCATGTTTACTGGAGTTCAAACAGCATAACCGTAGTTGGCATATGTAGAGCTCCATCCCAACAGTCTCAAGGCCGATTTGCAAACCTATCAGTCCATTTCACCTTGCAATATCCAAGGAGATTTGGGTAAGAAGTTCCGTTCCGACAAATGAACTAACTTTTTAAACCTGAACTACCACCGAGGCGATGAATGAGATGGAAGAGCTGGAGGCATTTGCAGTTGGAAACAGTTAACGCGTTCACCTCTGACTACATATAGAATGTCCCTGAAACGTAATCTCGCGTCATCGACAAAAAAGATTACCCAAAAACAAACTTTTTAAATCTTGTTAATGTGGCATACCGACCCAATAAACAGCGCATCGAAGGGAAGGGAGGCAGGACCAGATGTAGGGATTATAGTTGGAAAGGAAGAGGGTGGGCGGATGTAATAACAAAACGAAAAAGTACTTTCACAAAATCCGGTTCTATAATTTTTTTACATAAATTCCTTCAGTGCATCCGATCGAATAATTCCATCCTCATCTCCACCACCTTCGCAGTCATCCGAGTTCGTGGAAGAGGGGGAAGACGAGGAAGAACTAACATCGGACCCAAAGAGACTAGCCTCCAGATAACCTGCAGCTCCAATAACACTCTTCTTCTTCTTTTTTCGACTCTTCTTCCGCCTTGTCCTTCCGCCATCCGCCCCCTCGTTGTCACTTCCTTCGCCACCATGTCCGACTTGACGACGGCTGTCAAAGCGCACCTCTTGGCGTGCCGTCTCGGGACGCAGAAGCTCCCTGGCGCGTTCTGCATCCATGTAATCGTAGCCCTCCGGACAGGTGTTGAATTCACGTAGGTCAGTGAGCTCGTCGGACAGACGAGAGGACGGATCAGTGGACAGATAGCGGTTGCGTCTGTGGTGATGGTGATGTAATTCTTGATGCTGAAAAAAACCTATTACCATAAGAATTTGTCAAGTGTAACTATCAAACGTTATCGACGCAAGAAAAAAAAAAGGTCAAAGGTGAAAGTACTGCTACATCCACGCCAACTCAAAGCCTTCATAAAAAAAAGTACAGCCTGCAATATTGTTAATGCAAACCATAATAGTATAGGTTGTAAACAACCATAAAATGAAGAGGGGACGCAGCTCTTGGAAAATACTTGAAACGAGTTTGCTTGGTGAAAGAATTTTCTCGCAAACGGAATTATTGTTGGAAAAGTATCTGCCGTAGAATATTGTCTAGCCCTCGGTGCTATTTAAAGAAGAAATTCCTAAAATGCAGTTCAAAATCGAGGTGTGACAGATGGATCTATTAAGATCTGCTAACGCCGCAATCATCAACAGATTAGAACATCCTTTCTCTCGAATCGTCAGTTTTCAACACACTCAATACTGTTATGATGAAGAGAAAGCTCAAGAACTACCGAGAATGAAAATCAACTCAAACCGAGGAGACAATGCAACAGAATGATATTTGCCGTAATTGTATAAAAGATGAAACGAGCCTTTGCGGCATCCTTCAAGTCGAGCGGCACCTGTCAGGGCCTTAGTCGCTGATAGCATACCCCCTCCCAGCCCGTCCACACACTAAAATAACGTCACCTGCAAACGGTAACTTAGCTGCTACATAGGCAAATTAGATATACCTGACGCCCACGAGCCATTTCCACGGAAAAACGACTTCCAACAGACCCACTTCTACTGATTTCCCACAACCGACGTTCGATTTTTGCGAGGGCCCTTCGGTTTGCACCACTACGACGCAGCAGTAATTGTTGTCGAATCTAAAAGGACAGGCGAGGGAGAGAAGTTAGATGCTGACAATATGCTTACACTCAGATGGATACGGGATGGATGTATAGACAAAGACTTCCAACTTACCCTCAGCCATCGTCCCTCCTGTTCAAGATCCCTTTGGGTTGCTACACGACCTTCGACTTGAGAGTCATCTTCATCTTCATCATCATTTTCTTCCAACTCCTCATCATCATCTTCAGGTCCTCGTTTGCCCCGTCCGTTATGGTCGGAAGAATTTGATGACGAGGAGGAGGAGACCTCATCTTCCATCTCTCGCGGAACTGAGGCAGCTCGTTCCTCTCTTTCCTCCATTACGGCTTCTTCCACTTCGTCCAACATTTGACTGGCTGCCTAACAGGTCAAAGTGACAAATGAAACGATGTTAAAACCCGACTCTGACTACTCAGCTTCTATCGGTTTTATATTCTAGAAAAGAACTTTTGAATCTGCTTCAAGGGAACTATAGTGGTGACAAGGCTAGCTGCGTCTATCACGTTTTCATCGCATCCAGAATCCAGAAGAAGGCGACTTAGAAATGTTTCCGGTTTATTTAAACAGCATTTCAACAAGAATTAAATTTACATTGCCTAACCGACCAGTGTGTCTAGTAGATTGTCACATAGTTCCGTTGAGGAAACCTCAGAAGTACTCAACTTTTGTGACTCGAATCTGAACTGCAAAAAAAGTGAGTCAGCATTCGTTGACCACCTATCTGCCTGGTAATTCTAAATGGCAATAAAACCGCATTTATCTACTTCAAGCAATTATTCGTTCCAGAAATATTTCATTTTTTGATCGAAGATCGTGGTGAATGAATCGAAATTGGTGGACTAGAGACAATACCATCTACTTTATTAACTACTCGATAATTCACGGTTCTTTGAGTACCGACTCGAGTGAACGCACATGCTGACATTTAAAAAACCAAGGAATCGCAAAATGATAACGTGGACACTCTTAAACTTCGTTTGCCCGGACAAAATCGCCATTCAGTCCCAAAGTCGATTAAACAAACATATTTGCGCTGGAATTATTACACACCAAATACTTGCATCCACAGTTCCAACCCACCCATTGGCTACGTCTTGTGCTGCCACTTTTGAGGCGGCTGAAGAGTAAACCAAAGCCAAAAAACTTCGAATCACGGATGGTAAGGCTCGTTCTGTATCATAAAGTTACTGTGATTCTAGCCTTACTTACAGGTAGAGAAATTTCGCGTGACTTTC